GATAAGGGTTGAGGATCATAATCAAGTCACCGAGGGTAGGGGGAATGCAACTGGAAGTGCTGGTCAGATGATCTTGGATTCGATACTGGCTTCGAAGGGCAAAGCTCAGGAGTCTGCTGAAGTTGCCTGCCACAACCTGAATTCTGGCTGTAGCTAATCTGGTAAAATCGATTGAGCAGGGAGTACTATCTGAATGGCAAAGGGTAGGCACTGTTGAGCTGCCATCAGAAGGTGAACTACAGACAGCCATGGTAGAACAAGTCAATCCTCTTGCAAGGGAGACATCCATCACCCCTGTAGCTAATAGGTATCAGAACCTAGCTATAGACTCATTTGAGGTTGGGAATATTATGGTAAGCAGCCCAGTTCTTCATAATCTGGAGGACTTTCCTGTATTAGAAGGTGATGGAAAAGGGAAAGGTAAGTAAGAAGGGGCCAGGTAGGCCTGCCAAACCTAAACCTAGGAAATGAAGGTGTTATCTTGGAACATTAGGGGATTTAATCACCCCAGCAAGCAGAATCAGGTTTTGGAAGTGGTAGGTAGAGAGAATGTGGATGTTTTTGGAGTCCTGGAAACAAGGGTGAAAGAAGAAAAATCTAAAGAGATAATTGATCTTAAGTTTGGTAGATGGGACTGTGTACATAACTATGAATACTCGGTTCTGGGGAGGTTGTGGATATTCTGGAAAAGAGACTTGGATTTTATTGTACTAGAAAAATCAGAGCAGTTTATACATGGAGAGCTCAGGGGAGATCAGCCTATCAAGATCACTTTTGTGTATGGATCGAATGAGGAGGGGATTAGGCGAAGTCTATATCATCACCCTATATTACAGCCTGATAACAATCTGCCTTGGATAGTGTTAGGTGACTTCAATGCAATAAGAAACACATCTGAGGCCTCAAACAGCCCAGTTCAGTCACAGAGTATGGTTGATTTTGATGACTGGATAACTAGAATGGAATTGGAGGAAAGTGTTTTTGAGGGGCCTTGGTTTTCTTGGACTAACAAGCAGGTGGAGAACCCTATTGCTAGAAGGATAGATAGTATACTAGGAAATTCTAGGTGGTTGAGTGCATTCCCCAATTATGCAGTAAGCCTTATTCCCCCCAAGGCTTTCAGACCACTGTGGTTTGCTCATGAACACGGACATTCAGATAACTTCCTTACCTAAGCCCTTCAAATATTTCAACTGCTGGGAGACCCACCCTCACAATGCTGAGATTGTCAAAGAAGCCTGGGGTAAGGTGACAAGGGGGACACCTATGTTTGTTGTTTATCAGAAATTGAAAGAAGTAAAAAAGCAACTGAAAAAGCTGAATACAGCCTCTTACTCAGAGATTTCTGAAAGGGTTCGTCTTGTTCGAGGTGAAATGGAGGGACTGCAGATAGAGGCTCTCCAGCAGCCTACTTTTGAGAGCTTCCAACAAGTAAATGAGTGTCAGGGTAGGTTACTTGGCCTTCTTAAGGAGGAAGAAGCAATTTATAGACAGAAGTCAAGACAACTTTGGGTGAAAACAGGAGACTTAAACACCTCTTTTTTCCATAATTCTGTAAAATCTCGTCAGGCTCGATCAACTATCAAGAAACTCATTTCAGAAGATGGAACTGTTCTAACTGATGCCAAGGAAATGAGTGGGGAAGCAGTGAGTTTTTATCAGAAGCTATTAGGCACTAAGAATCCATATGTTCAGAGGGTAAACAGTGAGCTGATCTCTCAGCTTCTAGTCAACTTTCTTACCTCTGATCAAGCAGATTCCCTTTGCAGTCTAGTCACCAGAGAAGAAGTTAAAACAACCCTATTCTCTATGGATGGGGATAAATCCCCTGTCCAGATGGCTTCATAGCCAAATTTTTCAAGCATAACTGGGAGATTTTGGGAACTGACATCACTGATGCAGTACTGGATTTTTTCAGAACAGGGAAACTTCTCTCAGAGGTAAACTCTACTTACCTAGCCTTAATCCCTAAAGTACAGAATGCTGATTGTATGAAGCAGTTTAGACCGATTTCATGCTGCAATATACTGTAGAAGTGTATTGCTAAGGTCCTAGCAAACAGACTTAGAGAAGTGCTTCCTAGTATCATTAGTCAAAACCAGTCTGCTTTCATTAAGGGTAGATTGATTAGTGATAATGTTCTATTAGCCCATGAGATGGTGAGGCTGTATAATAGGAAAACTATATCTCCCAGATGTGCCCTAAAGGTTGATGTGATGAAGGCCTTTGATAGTGTTGATTGGGGATACTTAAAAACAGTAATGGAAGCCATGAAAATTCCTACACAGTTCATCAAATGGATTGAAGTCTGTTTACACAGTACAAAGTTGAGTGTATGTTTAATGGGGGATTAGTTGGCTACTTTTCTGCTCAAAAGGGACTGAGACAAGGGGATCCCCTTATCTCTTTACTATTGCCATGGAACTTCTCTCATGTATGTTCAACAGGGCTTATGCCATAAAAACTCTTCCTCCCCATCCTCAAACCCATAGAATAGGGCTTTCTCACTTGTGTTTTGCTGATGACCCTTTGGTCTTCACAAAAGGGACCCCTGAAGCTGTAGAAAAAGCTAAGTCCATTTTGGATGCTTTCTATGTTGTATCTGGATTGAGATGCAATCCTGCTAAGAGTGAAGTGTTCTGTGGGGGTGTGGAAGCTAGGGTCCAGGCTCAGATTTCTTCTAGAACTGGGTTTGCTATAGGAAAACTTCATGTGAGATACCTGGGGATTCCTCTTATTGCTGGAAAACTGAATACCTCTGATTGTCAAGCTTTGGTTGAAAAGATAACTGCTAGGATCAGGGGCTGGAAGGTGAGAACTCTGACTTATCCTAGTAAAATGCAGCTCATCTCTGCTGTCATTTCTAGCATTACTCAGTACTGGATGGGGATCATTCAACTTCCTGTTAAGGTGATTAAAATGGTTGAGAAAGCCTGCTCTGACTTCTTGTGGAGTGCAGAGGAAGAGGGGGAAAGGGTCAAAGTTCACTGGCAGTTGATATCTAGACCTAAGAAAGAAGGGGGGTTAGGTTTCAAAGATCTCAGGAGCTGGAACATGGCTTGCTTAGTAAGACATCTCTGGGCTATTTCTTCTAATTCTTCTTCTCTATAGGCAAGTTGGGTTAGGCACTACCAGCTCACCTATACTTCTCTGTGGGACATACCTACATCTATGCCTTGCTCTTGGGCTTGGAGGAAAGTCTTGAAGATTAGGACCAAAGTTGCTCAACATCTAACAGTCAAACCTGCAGGTGTGTACTGGGGAGACTGTGTGATGCACAAGTTCTCAGTAAAAAAAGTCTGGGAGACTCTTCGTGATAAACATGAGGTAGTGCAGTGGTTTCCATTGCTTTGGAAGTCTTTTGGTACACCTAGAGATAATCTTCTAGTCTGGTTAATCATCCTAAATAGAATTGCCACATTAGACAAGGTACAAAGGTGGAACAGTGCAGTGTTCAACCTATGCCCATTATGTACTTCAGCGGAGGAATCCAGAGATCACCTTTTCTTTGGATGTGCTTATTCTAAACGTGTGTTGCAAGCAATGTTTGCAGGAAGGGATGTGGTGGGGGCAAATTGGGAAGGTTCCTTGGCAAATGCTATATCACTGTTCAGGGTGAAAAACTCTGTATCTGAGCGAGGAAGACTCATTTGGGTAATGGTGGTGGCCGAACTCTGGCGGGAACGATGCAGAAGAGCTATGACTGGTGAGGCTCTATCGGAAAATCAGCTACTGCAAAAGCTGCAAGGGCTACTGCACCTACTCAGGCATGGATTCCCTCAGGTGGAACTTGCTGTCTCGGAAGATTATGTCAGTAGTATAGTAGTGTAGTTTAGATTTGATTGGCTTTTGTGCTTCTGTCTCTTGTTTAGTTTGGTAGTCAAAATTCTGAGTTGCTATTTGTTTGTAAACAGTGGTGTTGTTTGTTTGGTTCCAGTTGGGGGGTTTCTTCTTTTGAAAAACCCTCCTTCTTGATGAATAAAATCTGCTTATTCATAAAAAATAAAATAAAAACTGTAAAGGAGGTTGTACCGGGAAAACAAGCATTAGGATTTTGTGTACTTTCGTAGTTCAATTGTTTCATACCACTAAAATTCACCTACCGAAAATGTATTTTTATGCTTCCTCCGGTATTGTGGTAATAAGTACCAAAGATTGGATTGAATGCAGTTACGGTATTACAACTAGGGGTGGCTATACGGTCCGGTCTCGTTAAATTGACCCGAATTGATCCGGTCCCAGTCCGGTCTTTTCGGGAATATAATGACCAAAGATTGGATTGGAAACAGTCCGGTCTTGATCCGATATGGTCTTGACCCAGTTCGGTCCCAATTCAATCTTGATTGTAGATTGAGTTTGTGGGAGTTTGAGTGGCTTGAGGTCTCAAAGGGTGAGGAGTTGGTTAAGTTTTGGATGTTGGGCTCTCTTATCCGGTCTTTATTCGGTTTTCGATCCGGTTCCAAACAGTTTCTTACCTCAAATCTAAACCCGAAGATGAGATTGGATTGTTTGCTATCTGGTCCTGGTTCAATCCCAATCCGGTCCCGATCTGAATTATACGATCCGGTTTCGAATAAAACCAAATAGTCCGGACCAAATAGCCAGCCCTAATTACAACCGCTCAACCAGTCCCATTATCACTACTCAATCCTGAGTAGGAGCACTGGTATCTTCACTTCTTCTTCATGCGCCAACTGTAACCTCTGATGACCTAGAGAGGAACCAATTCCAGGGACCCAATACGACAAAAGTAAGACGACCAAAGGATACATAAGAGGAAGTGACTTATGTAGAAGCTTGCTAAATCTAATAACGTGATATGATAAAATAACATCTGGAATAAAAGAGAATTTATAAATTGATAATTCACAGAAAGCACCCTTTTTTCTTCTCCTAAGCATCATCAGCATCATCATCCTGTACGTGCCTGAAGAAGCTATCTATCTCTAACAGTACTATAAAACCTACATATATACGGGCCCTTCTATAGATATATCAACTTCTAAGTTCATCAAAGGAAATCAGTGTGGGGAAAAAATAATGGCAATAAGCAGAGCGGTGGAGCCTCTGATAGTCGGGAGCGTGATAGGAGACGTGATGGACTACTTCACACCTTCCATAAAAATGACGGTGGTTTATGCCAACAACAAGCTGGTCTCCAATGGCCACGAGTTCTTCCCTTCTGCTGTCTCCTCCAAGCCTCGCGTCGAGATCCATGGCGGCGACCTCAGATCTTTCTTCACTCTCGTCATGACCGACCCAGATGTGCCTGGCCCTAGCGACCCTTTTCTAAGGGAGCATCTCCACTGGTAGGATGCTCGATTTATGAGATTGCGTGAAAAAAAATATTGATCCATTAGTAGTTGAAACGATTGCGTGAAAAAAATAAATTGTTATGTTTGAGGTGCAGGATAGTGACGGACATTCCAGGAACAACCGACGCCACATTTGGTAAGTACGTGAGTATGTATGAATATCGCACACTCAAATATCTAAATGGTCTTCTTCAATTGTGAGCTACGAGAGAGGTGCGTGTTTTGGTGCAGGAAGAGAGGTGGTGAGCTACGAGATACCAAGGCCGAACATAGGGATACACAGGTTCGTGTTTGTGCTGTTCAGGCAGGACCGAAGGCAGTGCTTAGTGGCCAACCCTCTCCCTCCTTCTTCCTCGTCTTCTTCTGCGAGGGACTATTTCAGCACAAGGGACTTCGCAACCCTCAACGGTCTGCGCCTCCCCGTCGCCGCTGTTTACTTCAATGCTCAACGCGAGACCGCTGCTCGACGGCGATGATAAATGCATGGATTCTTCATTAGCTTAGCTACCTGCCCGCCAGCCATAGCTACTACTACTAGCTAGCCGCGGCCGGGAAAAGAGTTGATTGCCATGGAGAAGAAAGATTGACCGACCACTAGTACTCTACGTACCTACCTATAATTGTGTTGTGTTGTGTGCGCGTTTTTGGGTTGATTGACAATTTTTGCGCTCGTTGGAGAAAAGATTGGGAAGATATGATGCGCATCAAGCTGATGATGATGATTCTACGCCATGCATGATATGTTTTTTAAGTTGTTATGGACGTTATTGTTCTCTTTTTCTTCCTTTATTGGAGGAGGACTACTGTTTTGTTGTATACTTACCTAATTCCCACGTTGCCTTTGTTGCAAGGGAATTAGAGTTGTAAGGTTGAGATATATATGTGAGTTACGGCGGTTCTGGCCAATAGCTCAAAAAATAAAAACAAAAACTCGCAAGTTTTTGTTGTCTGTGGAATTAGGGCATTCACATCGAATTGAATGAATCACGTAAATTGCGTGTTGGCCTTTTTGGTCATTTTCAAAGAATTTATATGGTTCTAAAGTTATGAGTGGATCCCACAACGTTTTGTTTCATCATTCATTTTTTCTCGTCCCGTCTTTATAAAATGTTCGAAAACTTGTTGGTGTGGCCATTCATATCATTGACCTTCTGTGATGGTGCTCATGGAGAACTTGGCAGATTTTCTTGACGATCTCAACGAGAGTAGTCCACTAATCCTTGTTATCTTCTCTCGGATAGTGACGTCGACTCCCATTTGGCAAAAGCGAATCCAATTTAGACACTCAATTTCGTCAACTGACAGCTCTTGGCTCTAGAGATATCTATCGGTATATTCCAAAGAAATTAGATCTAGAAAAGCATGCTCAACTCACTCCATTCGCACTCTTGGTCTCCTCGGTGGATTCAGTTATTGTTCTTCTTCTTCTTGTACTTATGTTTCAGGATCTTGTTATGGTTGTCCTTGTGGGTTGGTTTGTAGAGCTTGAGGATTTTGATTATTCCTTTGCTAATGGCATGTGGTAGGCTGAACTACTTCCTCAGGAGGAGGAGCATTTGAGTTCTCCCATCGAAGTAAAACTTTACCTCGACCGAATCTCCAACATAAACAAACAAACACACCAAATACTTCCAAACACACATTATTAATCTTCAAATTTGTTCTGTGAACACCATTCTTCATCCCTAAGATTAATTCTATACACCTCCCACACTTAATTGATAATATGTAAAAAAATAGGGTTGCATAGGTGAAAAGATATGCTAGTTTAAGTATTTTGGGAGTTCCATCGGTTGGAATCAAGTACATCATGTCAATTTGAGGGTTTCAATGTTTTCATCAAGGGAAAGAATTCAAACAACGAAGGTAAGGGTATGGAGCATTTGCTCAAAAAACTTACAGAAGCATGTATCTTAGGTTAGCAAAAGAGCCATACACCATTAACCATTCAATCAAAATCCAAAACATTTAGGGTTCATCATATGCATTCAAGTACAGTAGCCAAACATTGACTCAATGAAAACATAGCTCATGTGATTTGGGCAATTTATAGAGCACTTGGTGTGATAGTGTTTGTTTTGTAATGGCTGAGAGTGAAAAGAGTGGGAAAAGAGAGGGTTTTGAAGGTATTCAGGAAAATGGGGAAATGAGGATCTCGATCGAGAACTTCCCTTTTTGCGGTTGAGAAATAGCTTTATAGCTCATGTGCATTTCTAAAGTTTGCGATCATGATATTTGGGAAATACCCCGCTGTTTAAACATGGCAAAAAGTTCACGGGTCTAAGAAGTATGTTCACTCGCATGAACTTCTTCCCAAGCCTATGATGATTGATCTAATAGAAAAATGCATTTTCTCAACATATAACTATAATGATCGTTTCACCAACATTTCCACATCTCCAAACACGCATTCATGCTCTTCTTAACCATGGAAAGGGTCCATTCACTATTGGTAACTACAAACACTTCATAAAATAAATTCTTTCACGCAAGTCCGTTATTGAAGGTAGAGAAAAAAATGTGTAAACCGAGTTGTTGTGGAACCTCCTGATTAGTGCGTGTTTTGGTTTGTTTATCATTAATCAAGCATCATTAAAGAACAAAGTGAGAAGATTTCACCTAAACTCCCTTGAGAGTTTGTTATAATCTCATTTGTGATGTAGTCCAAGATGCCACATGTGAAGACCTATGGTTTAACTCTCGCTCATGGATTCCTCAAGGATCCTCTCAAAAGGATGGTCCTTGAGAGTAGATTGAGTCGGTGGACACCCCCCATAAATTCTCTACTCTAAATTCCTTATAGCCTCTACATGTCTTTCTTTAGGGATGGCAATGGGCCGGGTCGAGGACGGATAGTGCATATCCGTTACCCTACCCGATGTAGTTCGGGTTTTACCCATACCCGTACCCACTCGAGAAACGGGTAGAAAATCAAAACCACGCCCATACCCGTTCGGGTTTCGGGTATCCACGGTTATCCATGGGTAATAATTTCTCCTTATAATTCCAACCAATATGTTAACATTCACATGTATACTCACATTATGTAAGAGGAAAAGTACGACAATAATTCACTAGAATGACGAAAATTAATTAAAACAACATAATTTCATAAAAATATTATATTTATATGCTAAATATAAAATATTCTAGAGAAACATAATGATTATTTCTAGACAAAATACATATGCATGTGTATAATCGGGCGGGTTCGGGTTGGATAGTGAGATAACCATGCCCACACATTACCCGCAATATTCGGGTTCGGATTTTACCCGTACCCACGAAAAATGCTTCGGGTTCGGGTTTTACCCTACCCGATTAGGTCGGATTCGGGTGGATATCCACGGTTTAGAATATTTTTGCCACCCCTATCTTTCTTCTTCTTCAATCGAGTCAAGCCTCATCCTCTTTCCTTCCTTCAACTTAGCTTTGTCCTTCAAATTTTAATTGTCTCAACTTCTTTTTCTTCATGTTTCCTCGATCGAGACTTTAAGCAATCAATTCATGTTATTTGTCGCGTCATTACTTGCCCCTTTCTTAGCCTCAATCTTGTTTTTAACATGATCTTCATCAATAGTTTCTACATGTCATTATTCTTCCTTGTTGATTCTTGATCAACATCCTTTGGTACATCAAATTGATCATTATATGATTTGATTCTTACTTCAGGAATGGGCTCGACTCTTTGAACCAGGTTTGAACGTCCAAAGTCTTGGTGAGTTGAAGTAGTAGGAAACATGACCAGCTTCGTCCTTCATTTTGCTTCTTCCGGATAAAGTAGATTAGAAAGGACAAAAGCTCTGTCATTGTGTAACTAATTAATTCTCCCTGGCCCCTAGCATGATATGTTGATGATATCATCTTTATGGTTGCAAAGAAATATCAGCCTAATATGATTGTTGCATGAACACCATCATTCATGTCTAGTATGATAAAATCAATCGCGTAGATGAAGGTGTCTAGTATGTCTTGTCTCCAAAGGTACTTGAGATAATGAGAAGTCTCGGATCTCTTTAGTTTAGGGTAACTCCTTTGGTTTTCGAAGTGGAATAAGAAACTGTGCTAAAAAATATCATTGCCACTTCTTCCATCTTCTGTTTACCCACCAAGATTTCCTTCAAGAACTTTGTATACTTAAGAATATTTAATACCAAGTCCAAGAAAGGGACATTAACCTTGAGTTGAAAATGTTTACTTTAATTGTCTACGTTGGTGATTTAGATCCTTCTCAAATGCTCTTCATGGATATGGTGGTTTTGGAATTTATTATGGAACATATGATTTTTCCTTCGACTTGTCCTCTCAGATTGTGTCCTTCTTCTTGTTTCTCTCAACCTCATGAGAGACATCTTACTTTTCATCTTTAGAATCATTTACTTCTTGAAGCTTCTAGTTTGAATTCTCTAACATTCGCACTGTAAGAACCGACCTAGGCACTGTAAGAACCGACCTATGCACTACACCTTAAATATTACATCCAACCCTTAAAACCATTGCATGACATCCCTCCTTCAGTTTTGGCTCGATATTACATGGAAAAGGTCCTTGTGTCTTACTTTCCGGGCTTGAGCAATCAGACCAACTTGAGCTTCAAGATTTTGTAGCATTTCTTCTTGGTTCCTCTGCCTTGCTTCCTAATTGGTAAACTTTTGACTAGCGAACTCCACAAATATTCAATAGATTCAAACATTTTGTTAGTTGAAGAACAAATTGGCGTACCAAATCTTATATCCTTGAAGTTCTTCCTTGAATTTGTTTGGATTGTGAAGAGGAATCCAAACCTTGGCTTTGAAAATTACCTTGTGGTTGAGAATGTCTTTGGCATAGAAAGTTATTAGAACTCTGGCCTTGAAGTCGGGATGGTCTCTGGTTTATAAGTTACGAACAAAAAAAATTGGGATGATTCTTCCACCCAGAGTTGTAAGTTGGACTATATGGATTTCCATCCTAGATTTCCTTCTGATGTAGTTGGCTTGCTCGTGTTTAATGGATTCCTCCAACATCACTTGGAAATTCTCCTTATTGTGCATATTTTTACCACACCAGACACACTTCAAGACTTAATTTATGTTGCCATTGAATGTCGAGTTTACAAGGTCTAACTTCTTAGAGAAATCCTCAAGTTAAGCAGTCACAGAAGATGCTTCACCTACTGGTAACAATATGGCCCTCTTTAAAGTTTTGTCTCGTCTTCCTCTACCCAATCATAATCGATCGATTCCATTTCCTCTCAATCAACTAATTTAACCAACTGTGTTGTTACAGATTGATTCACCACCGGATGCGTAAATAAGATGTTTTGAGTTTCTTGTGAGACCGATGTAGAAATTCTACACTTACAACCAATCCACAAGTCCATTTTGGGGGCATTTCAACAAGATTGAAGTCAAATGTTCCCATTCTCGAAACAAGGGTTCGTTTACTTCTTTTTGGATGGAAGTGATTTCACTCCTCATCTTAGCTATCTTGGATGGTGGAAAACACCTTGCAAAGAATTTCTTTCACAAGTGGATCCGATACAATCGATCTCAGTTTTGATTGTTCATCCAAAGCTTAGCAACACAACTCAGAAAAATTGGGGATAATCTAAGAAGAATCGCCTCTTTCACAACACCATTCTGCTTGATCCCATCAGTCAACTCCAAGAAGGCTAGTATATGTCTATGTGGATCTTCATTCTTGAGCATATAGACTTGCACCAATGATATTGTTCAACAAAAATGGGTGTAATATTCGCAACTGAACATCATCCACACTAGGAAGGGAATAAGATTCCATTGTCCAGAGGTGAGGGTCCATTCCATTGATTCTTTGAGGCGGCCTTTTTTTCTGTTGCTTTGCCATATTGTGTACTCCTTCGGTTGCTTGCCTTGTACTCCTGAGACCACAAATAGTCCTCTCAATCTTTGTATCAAGCACTAAGAGATTGTCGGTATCCCTTTGGTGCATAAACTAGGCTACACACATTAAAACTCACTCAACCGCGAAGAATACTATGAAAAAAAAAACTACAAACTAAAAAATTATGCATAAAAGGAATGACCAAACTAAAGTATCTCATAGTGTACATAGCTTAAACATATGTTTCCCCAACAACGGCGTCAAAAATTTCGCGAGTCTAAAATCTTTGTGTTATGTATCCTACTACCGCACCTAGCTTGGCCAAGTATACCCTCACTAGGTGGTGTAGTAAAGCGGTTTACTAAAGTCATATCCCCAAACTTGATAGTCTACCTCTACTCAATGGATTGGCTGTTATATAGTTAATTGTTCATGTTGTAAAGGGTCTAATCACTATAAGTTATACTAACACACAAGATTTAGAAATAAAAACGATAGTTAGGGTTTGGCTCTTTAAATACAATATAACGGATAATGCCGTCAAACTATATTGTATCGAGGCACGAGGATTACTAATATGGGAAATAAAACAATGATCATTTCACAGAGTTCCCCTCTTTATCTATTCCATCAACTCAGTGGTCATGTAACTAACTTCAGTAATCAGGGATAAGACCTAACTCTTTAAATGGGGTTAATTCATTAAGCACACACCTTAAATGACTCAATTATTATGTAATAGTCCAAGATGCATCAATTGAGTAATCCCCTATTTAACCTAGTTGAATGGTCATCTACTTTAGGTTCATCCTATAAATTATCATTACATGCAATAAAGCATTAAGGACTTCAATTGAATGATATAAGCACTATGATTCAAATATTTCATCCATTACAAGCAAAAATCTAAGCTTGGGTTAGGAGAACCTTGTCTAAAATACCTTAAAGTACTACCCCATAAAAGGGGGAAAGGTGACGAACAAAGAGAGAAGGTTAAACATCAAAAGGACGAGGAAGAGGTGAAACCAAACTCTACAAACATCCCTCCCTCCCATTTTATTTTTTCAAACCATACCACTTCGAGTTCTTTGGCAGTTGGTCAAAAGCGTTTTTTAGCTATTTTTCCTCGATCGTGTAGAGGGTTAATGAAGTCAAGGGGTGTCAGAAGTTTTATCCATGCCCCTTAAAAACACATCCTCAAATTGCTAGTTTGGTCACTTGAATTTATAAAAAATTCACATTTACCATTAAAAATATTTTATTCCATTCGTAGTCGCTGAAATTAGTTCAACAGTCCAAATTTGGTAGCAGGCTGTTATCTTCCATCAATCTCCGTTAATGGCATCCATTTATTGCCTACATGTCTAACATAAGTGACTATTCAGCAAATTTTAACGCAAAAAATTAGAACCCGACTAGCCAATTCATTTAAACCTAACCCAATTCAACCCGTGACCCACCCAACCCTTCCTCTATTTGACTCGGCTGAAAAAACAAAAACCTACTCTCGACCACTGGATCTGCTGCCAAACCCCATATGGCATCGATCTTCATCTCCTCCTACAAATCCTTTAACTAGAGCATCAACCTTCTACTCAGGATATGAGGTTCTGTGCCCTGAAGGAAATCGAGGTTGATCTGAAAAGAGTGATCACTACAGGAAAACTGGTTTGTAGCCATGAGAACTTATTCACGGTAAATTTTCCCGTATTAAGAAGTATGCTAGTAGTCACAGTAAAATTTCCTAAGTTTGATTGTATAGTTCTAATCACGATAATTAAATAACCTATTATTCAGTCCTCATTTACCGTGACTAGTTGTTAGTCACAGTTAATTCCCGTGAACAATGTGACAATTACCGTGAACAATTTGACTAATAATTACCCATGGTTAATTACCGTGAATAATGTGACTAATAATTATTCACGGTTAATTACCGTGAAGAATGCGACCAATAATTACTCACGGTTTTGACCATGAACAATGTGACAATTTATAGAGAACATTGTAATTTAAATTTAAATTTAAATTTGAAATTAAGATGAATTGAAAAGATGCACAATGTGATTGACAAATTTTATAGTGAACAATGTGACTAACAATTAAGATGAATTATAAAATTATGGTTAACAATCTCTCCCTAATAAATAAAAGAATTGTGAAACTAATCCTTAAAAATTGGTTTGCCAAAAAGATGCACCAACTTCCCGCCTACAGATTCCCTAGAAAAATTTAGGCTCCATATCTGAAAATTTAGGCAAAATTTTCCTACCAAAATTTAGGCTAAAGGTCCGAAACTTTGGGCTCCAACAAATTCTAAACTTGTTGCTCTAATGAAACCTAAAATTTTGCCGCTAAGATTTGGAGGTTCTCCCACTAATTGGATTTTTGGGGTTCTCCCGCTAGAGTTTTGGCCTTCTCTAGCTTTGTCATATTAAAAGGAAAGAGCAACTAAAAGAAAGCTCTCTCTTCTGCGTTCCCAATCTAAGGAAAGCTCTCTTCTTTCCAATCCCTCTCCTTCATGATAAGAATCTCTTTGTTCTTCCCCTTTCAATCTTTCGTTCCACTTGGTTCCTTGTTCCTTCTTTACTGAACTCCTTCACTGAATCGACAACATCCTATGTTCTTTACTGAATTCCTTCCATAAGGTATGTATAATCTCCTCCCTTTCTATATGTTTTAGTCGCATGCAATTGGTTATGCTCCTACACGAATTTGGATAGGGATTAATTTCTCATGTCAGGTTGCAACTAGTTATGTTTTTTCGATTGTAATGGATAGTACCATCTCCAATTTGCATTCTAATTTTCTAATTTAATGGGCTAGAACAGAAGAAGCAATAGGATTTGAACTTTTCATTCATATCTCTGACTACATGTTTGTATAAAATGGTAAGGTTACTCTGATTTTCTTATGTAGTTACCTTCTTGTTCTTTTGTTGTAGAATAGATAATGAAGGCTGGTCAGAACCTTAAGGTGAACCGTACTAAGAAATTGAAGGTGAAGGGTGGTCAGAACCTTCAAGATATGGGTCAATCTCGTGACAATGATGGTGCTACCAAAAAATCCCCAGCAAAGTATGTTACCCCTGGCTCACTTGGGAGGAGGGTTCCAAATCGACCCACCAGTTTCTCTAGCCTAATGTATTTATCTAGTAAGGAACTTTTGTAAATTTTTTATCACATTTTTCTGCTGCAAACTATTAACTATGTTTTGCAGCTCCTCATAGTGCAAGAGAATCCCCTGTTGTAACTAGCAACATGGCCCAAAGGGCAAGGGAAGTCTTAGTTGAGAGAAAGATGCAAGTACCTCTAGAGGAACCAACTGTGGAAGATGCACAAGTTGAACCTGCTGCGAACATGGCTGCTGATGCAGACATGGATGCTAATGATGATGTTCATGTGGCTGCTAATGATGAATCAGCTAATAGAGGCAAGTTTATTGTCAATTTGATGACTTAAAAAATGAACATGTTACTGGTTTCTATATTATGGTTAGGCTTATATTATTAGTTCTCTGGTTTATTTTATTATGTCTATTGTGTCTTTGCAACATTAGTGCTAGTAATGATTGGTTTATATGCAGAAGTTAGAAAGAAAAATGTGCGAGGGAAGAGTATGTGTAAGGTGGTTGCTAGGCTTAGGCGGGGAGAGAAGTTGCCGATAGCCTTTTACAACAATCGTGGTGCTGGGCCAAATCGGGTAGCCTGGTCAAGCTTCATTGGACTGCTTGTTCGCAATCCTCGAATTTGCTCGTTCAGATCAAGAAGATGGAAGTCCAAGAGTAGTGTAGAATTTGATCATATGTGGGCTGCACTTACGGTAAGGATTAGGGCTGGGAATCCGGATCCGGTTTTCCGGTCAAACCGGAAACCGAATTCGCAACAACCCAATCCAATTGATGGTGGCTGGCTGTCTGGGAAAAACCGGCCCGGTCCGGTTTAATACCGGAAAACTCTTTAAAACTGGATGGATTAACTAACCAGGCCAACACTAAATTATAACTAACTGACTAGGCCCACTAAATTATAACTAATTGACTAGGCCCAACAAAAAAAATTCTCTCAACCATCTAAGTCACTAACCCAGCCAGGAAGCCCAACACAACAAGGGGGAAAGGCACAAGAACGAAACCCTAATCGGTCGTTCCTCTTCCTCCCCTTCAATCTCCATCTGCGGCCTGCGCAGCTGAGGACCTATGACCTAAGGTGCTGCCTGCCGCCTGGTTCGTTCTATCCCTCGGCGACGACGACGACGAGGCAAACAGCGGGCGACGAGTGACGAGTCAAAAACGATGGCGCCAACATCTCCCTTCGATCTCTGTTCGTTCGAGAGCAGTCTCCCCCGTCTCGGCGTCTCCTGTACATCTCCCGTCGAGCGTCGATCTCCTCTGTCACCAGACGCAATCGACGAGCCAACGACACCTCCAGATTCCGGCGAGCGGCGACGACCTCGGTAGAACGACGTTCATTTGGTGGTTTTTCCGGTCAAAATGGTTTTCCGGTCAAAACCGGACCAAACCGTATCTCATCCAATCCGGTTTGATTTAAACCGTGTCCCAGTCCAATCCCGTCCACGGTTGGGCATAAGTCCAATCCGGTCATAAAAAACTGGGTCAATCCGGTCTGGTTTAATCCGAACCGGACTGTTTCCCAGCCCTAGTAAGGATGACATGATAATTTGTTCTTGTATGCTTATGTGTCTTATGATTTCTTTCATGTTAGTGTAATATGTTTTTTTATTGTTTATGTAGGAATATTTCGATAATCCTAATATGATAGAGTTCAAGTATCATACTTTAATGTAAATTAGGGATCGTTGGAACAAATGGAGATCTGTCTTGTATTGTAAATATGCAAAGCCATGTTGTAGTGAAGAATAAGCTTTGAAAAACAAGCCAGATGCAATTGATGATAAAGAGGATAGGGAGTGGTGTGTGAAAAATGTGTTTTACACTAATGAGTTTCAGGTTAGAATGAACACTAGTCTTATGTACTTGCAGTTTGTTTAGTATGATTTATCAAAGTGAACTAAAATTTTTCCATCTCATTGCGGAAATTGAGCAAGAACAATGCTAAGAATAGAATGATGAAAACTATGAATCATCACAGCGGAAGCAAGCCTAATCGAGAATATTATTATGAGATGGTAGAAAATTCTCTTTCACTACTGCCTTATGTTTCAAGTTATGTTATTGGTTCTGCCTTATGCTGCTGGTTTTGCCTTATGTTTCAAGTTATGATGTTGGTTCTGCCATATGTTATGCTGCTGGTTCTGCCTTATGCTGCTAGTTTTGCCTTATGTTTCAATTTATGATGTTGGTTCTGCCATATGTTATGCGGCTGGTTCTGCCTATTTCAAGTTACGCTGCTGATTATGCCTTTTTCATATGTTTCAAGTAGTGTTTCATATGTTCCAAGTTATTCTCGTGGTTGTACTTTATGTTTTGCTGAGTTTTTTTAAATTTCAGAATGCAATGCCAAGCTATCGAATTGCAGAGTTGTTTTTTCTTGGATTGGCAATATATGTTAGCTTGATTAAGTAGTGGGGTTCATATGAATCAATCATGTTTACAGGGTGGAAAAGATGGGACTCCTCCAACTATAGATCAAGTGTTCTTCGAGACACACAAGAGCGGTGGTGTAATTGTGGAACAAGCAGCATTAGAAAGACATGTAATCTGTCATTATTCAATATTTAAGTTATACATGTATGGTACATCTACTATCTATGATTTGTAATGGTTGGTTGTTTTTATTGTTTTATTTGATAGGCTGAACTTGTTCAAACTCGTGAAGCTAATCCGGATTTGGAGCCGATAGAGTTGGTAGAGAAGTGCTTTGGAGAACAAAATCATGGACATATAATTGGCTATGGTGGTGGATTGAGGCCTAAAGACTTGAAAGGTACAGAAGCATTGGGTAGGCCTGAATTGGCGAGCAAATTAAGACACTCTGATGGGGAGAAAGCAGACATGGCAAGTATGATAGCAGATCAAGCAAAAGTAATTTCTGAAATGAGAGCAATGATGGAAAGGATGGCACAAAGGTCCGACCTTCCTACTTGGCAAAACGAGCAGTCTTAGGTATGTATACTCCTAATGCTGGTTTTTATTTTTTGTTCATTTGAACATTCAGTTGAACTATTGTTGCTGCATATAGCTGATAATTATTATTGCCTATTGTTTTGTCATGACAGGTATGGAAGTTTAATTGGATGGTATACATGACACCAAGTTTTTGTTGCTGGAGGAAGCATGATATTTTGAACTTTTAACCCTAAAATAGAAAGAGTTTTAGATGTTTGTTGTAATCTTTTGAATCATTTTGGTTGGTGTCATGTCTTGCATTACTGTTAGTGGTTGAGATGGTTAGAAACATGTAAAACTCTTCCTATCGTTATGTGAAATAAACTAGACATATGTTGAAGTAAATTGCATTTCATTAAAAATATGTTTAAATTTTTAGTTAAGTTACATAATATTTTTTTTAATGTATAATTGTTGCCTATATTTTTTATGTTGTGTTGGATTTTTAATTAAAAATATTTTCAACCCGACCCAACCTAATTATAAATAAATCATAGATTTTTATTTTTCTTAGTGGGTTTGAATTAATATTGTCAAAACCGTAATACATGAGTTGAGTATTTAAAATTATCAAATTCGAACCACCCAACCCATGTACACGGCTGCACTGCACACAAGACGAATATGGAGATCAAGATATACTCTTCACACCTGCCAATTCCATTCGTAGTTGGGCTACTGATTAAGAAGTTCGATTCATAGTTGGGCTGTTGATTAAGAAAACTCCGCAGTCGCCCACCAGCAGTTGCAGGCAGTCAGCGGCCAAAATTTCCAACCATGCAATAGCCCTTTGGTCTATTTAACGACTCTTCTTCTTCACTACAACTTGCACGGCTTCTTCTTCTCTGTTCAAGTCCTAGACTCCTGGTAGGCTTCAATTTTTGATTCGCGGGAATTTTAAATCTGTATGGGTTGGTGATCATTTGGAATAGTAGTAATTGCTTTGACTTTGCGACAATGGGTGGAAAAACCAACATCATAAAGTGGGATTGACTGTGTTAGTTGCTTCTATCTTAATTGTCGACTTAGATGAACTATACTCTGAATCAAATGATTATATATGCTTAGGGATCTTTCCTGCAGTACTTTTAGTTTTGCTCGCTAGGCTAGTGGCTTGGGATTACCAAGCAATCCGATCACCTCTGCCCAAGATATGTGGTTTTCTGAAGGACCGCCAGTCACAGCATCGAGAATCCAGCTTCATGATGGAAGGCATTTGGCTTACCAAGAACGTGGAGTGTCAAAGGATGTTGCCAAAATTAAAATCGTTTTTATCCATGGCTTCGACGTCTGCAGGCTTGATGATGTAATTGTGTGTTTATTTGTTGTTTTGGCTTAAGCTTCTTCATGCCTTCAGCTATTACCATCTTCTACATTTTAATGATGCTTTCGAGTCAGGAACTTGTTGAGGAGTTGGGGATGTATTTTGTGTCGTACGACAGAACTGGTTATGGGGAGAGTGATCCTCATCCATCGAGAACAGTGAAGAGCCAGGTATTGAACATAGAAGATCTTGCTGATCAATTGGGACGTGGGCCTAAATTTTACTTAATCGGTTATTCGCATGGAGGCCAGCTGGGATGAGGATGCATGAAGTACATTCCTCATAGGTAAAGTGTGTAGCTGGTGATTCAACAGATAGATGTATTTTGTGCATTTTTCTTATTGCTTCTTGTTTTCTTTGCCAATAATCTTCAGGCTGGCAGGGGTTACACTGTTAACCCCAGCTACTAACTATTATTGGCCTGGTTTTCCTTCCAACTTATCTACTGAAGTCTTCTACAAACAACCACCTTGCGACTATTGGTCTCTTCGTGTGGCTCATTATGCTCCCTGGTTAAATCATTGGTGGAATACCCAAAAAAAGTTTCCAATTATTGGTGCAGTAACTAAAAGCCATCATACACTTTCTCGTGAAGACAAAGAAGTTGCCGCTAAGCTTATAGCTAAGGGAGCTCATCATAGAGTAATTTTCATCTACCTGAATCTCCCCCTACAACTCTTTTCCTCTTTCTCCTATGCAATAAGTAAACGGCTTGGCACTTGTTGTAGATTTGAAAAGCTAAGTAATTAACGTTTTCATATGTTTTCATTTAATGTTCTTACTAGGAGCATGTAAGGCAGCAAGGACAATACGAGTCTCTCCATCGTGACCTGAACTTAGGATTTGGCACGTGGGAATTCGATCTTGTAGAGATGGAGAACCCTTTCATGGACAAGGAAGTCTTTGTACATCTGTGGCAAGGGGACAAAGACATTATGGTGCCTGCTACACTGTAGCGCTACATAGTAGAGCGCCATTCTTCTTGGATTTAGTACCACGAGCTGGCTGGTTCTGGGCACTTTTTCCCTCATCTCGATGGGATGGCTGACAGCATTGTGAAGACAATGTTGAATGACAAGCAGTAAGCTTTCAAAGGCCTACAAGAGTTGTCGTTGAACCTTAGCTCTTTACCAGGCTGGTAAATTCAAAGCATTTGGTGATGTTTAAGTTCCAGCTTTCGGAGCTCTAGATTGTTGTGCATTATGTTATTTAGAGTTGAGATGTTCTGTAAAATTGATGTTTAGATACAGTTTACTGAAAACTTTTGTGTAGACTTTTGAGCATGGATTTAGGCACATGATAAATAGCCAACAGAGTTACAGAAATGTAGAGATTGGCGTTATAACAATAGAGTAATTCGCCACTTTATTTGTTGGGCTCATTCTATGTAGCCGTCAATTGTGATTTTTACATGTCAATTAAAAAAGAATAAAAATTAATTTCTTTCAATGGTTCCTCACACCTACTTTGATTTTTTATTTATTTATGAATACCTACTGGATCCAGCCTTTTGCACGGGAGAAGTTAGACTGAAAATATAGTGTACAATAATAGATTTGATAGATTTTCTGAAATGTATGTAACATGAAGAGAAATATAATATAAGAAGAGTTCCATTAAATTCTAAGGGTCAAAGTTTGGTTATCCATGATTCCCCTAAGAAGAAGAGGGGGAAAAGGAGGAAGTAATGAAGTTGCTATGCTGGAATCTTAGAGGTTTTAATACCTCTGAGAAACATAGGTTTAATAGTAAGAAGGTTAATAAGAATAATAGTGATATGTTTGCTGTTTTGGAGATAAGAGTAGTAGCTAGTTATCCAGATACTATAATAAAGACCCAGTTTAAAGGCTGGAAATACTTGAATAACTATAAGTATCTAGTTTGGGCAGGGTCTGGTTGTTATGGAAATCCAATATGGAGGTTTCTGAGGTTGCAATGGATGAGCATTTCATCCAGGTGAGAGTAGAAGGGGAGGAAGGATGCTTGGTTACTACGAGTTATGCTTCCAAATAAGACAGCGGAGAGATCCAGGTTGTATGCAACCTTGATAACAAAATGTGCTCGAGGATCTCCTAGTGTGTTTATGGGAGACTTCAATGCAATTGTTTCAGTGGAGGAAGCATATAATATGTCAGTGGTTAATCAAAGTTGTTTAGAGTTCAGAGAGGGGATTAATGAAATGCAGTTAGTTGATCACGCTGTGCAGGGGTCCTGGTTCACATGGTGGAACAAGCAAGTTAACAATCCCATAACAAAACGGTTGGATAGATTCCTGGTTAATGGGGAGTGGATGGACAAATATTCCAACAGTGTTGTTCACATATTAATGCCCGGGGTCTCGGATCATTGTGGTCTGATTATGGAATCCAGTCCAATACTTGATTGAGTTCCAAAGCCATTTAAGTATTTCAAGATGTGGAGACAGCATCCCGACTATGACAGGCTGTTAACAGAAGCGTGGAAGGAAGAGACTCCAGGTGCTAGTTACAAGTAATTTTACAAGAAACTAAAGATTCTTAAGTACAAACTTAAGACTCTTAATCGTGAAAGCTACTTTGAGATTTCTGTTTGAGCCAGAGAAGCTGAAGTGGAATTGGAACGAAGGCAATATGAGGTACTTCTTCAACCTATTGAAGTTAATGTTCAATTAGAACTGGAGCAAGCTAAACTATGTCAGAATTTCAAAGGGCAGAGACAAATAAAAGTCAAGAGTTAGTTGGATCCAAAGTGGAGATGCTAATACTGGTTTCTTTCATAGAATGGCTCAAATTAGAAATCACAGACAAACTATAAGAAAGCTGATTCGGGAAGATGATACAGTGATAACAAATGTTAAGGAAATGGGAGATGAAGCAATTGCATTCTATCAACGTTTGCTGGGAACAGAGAACCCTGCAGTAATTGAGCATCCAGTTGAGTTTTATGCTCAACTTATTCAGAGCAGATTGGGAGAAAATGAAGCAGTGGAGCTAGTTTTACCTGTGACTAGAGATGAGATTAAGCGGGTCTTTATAAATTTACCTTCTGACAAAGCGCCTGGACTAGACGACTTCACTGCAAAGCTAAATCTCTAAGATTCTTTCGAATAGGGTACCAAAAGTTCTTCCTTATGTTATTGGCAAAGCTAAATCTCCGTTTGTTAAAGGTCACTTGATAAGTGATAACATACTCATGGCCTCAGAATTGGTTGAAGATTATCATAAATCTACTATCTCTTGTAGATGTGTGTTGAAAATAGATTTGATGAAAGCGTTCGACTCAGTTCATTGGGGGGTTTCTGTTTAGAGTTATGCTAGCCATGGGGTTCCCTGAAGAGTATGTAAAATGGGTAGAAGCTTGTGTTAGAACACCAATGCTAAGTGTGTGCTTCAATGGTGGCCTGTGTAGGTACTTTCCTGCACGAAAAGGGCTGAGGCAAGGCGATCCGCTTTCGCCATACTTGTTTACAATAGCTATGGAGTTTTTTTGCATTTCTTCTTCGAAAAGATGTTGCTGATAATCAGATTCCCTACCACCCTAGGTGTAAGGCATTGGAAATCTCGCATTTATGTTTTGCTGATGATCTCCTTGTCTTCACAAATGGGTCTGTTAGAGGGGTGGCAGGTATTAGGAGGCTAATGGACATGTCTTATGTCATCTCTGGGCTTAGATGTAACATAGAGAAGTGTCAACT